AATTGTGCAGTTCTGTAATTATGTAAAACTCATTGTACTTAATTCAGTTTGCAAAATGTCAGTTAAGTAGTATACTTTGAAATAAATATACAGAGTGGCCAAACGAAAAAGTACCCGTCAATTTTTTTAACCTACTTCAAAAAAAGAGGAGGTTCTCAATTCGTCGGAATATATTTTTTTTTATGTATGTTTAGCAATAATTCATTAAAACGGTGTCCGATTTCAGTGATTCTTTTTTGTTAGAAAGGGGGTACTTCAGGGGGTGGTCCCATGTAAATTTGGTCAAAATCTAATATTTGGATCCAAGAGAAAATCCTCAAACTCTTCATTTTTTATGAATGTTTATCGGTAATTCTTTACCACCTTGTCCGATTTCTATGATTATTTTTTTGCTATTAAGGAGGTACCTCAGAGGTGGTCCCCTATAAATTTTATCAAGATATGGTGATGACATCTGCATGATTTTGAAGTCGGATTTTTAAAATTACTTTTATAACAACAAACAATTTAAATATAGGAAAGTTATATTCAGTAATAAAAAGTTTGATGTTTTTGAGGGGGTTATAGGAAACGAGTGATTCGAAAGAAAGTTTTCATAAAGATTGTTTCAAAAGAATAGTCAAATTTGCAAAAGGACAAATGATATGGGGTTGTTATATCTGTTAGTGGTTTAGGAGAACTAGAGTTAATTGACGGAACAGTTAACGCTGTAAAACAACAGTTGATTTTATAAAATACTTTATTGCCAAGTATTTGTAAATTATGTGGAATTGACAGCCATTTTTTGTTCAACAGGATGGTGCTTCGTGCCATATTGCGCATTCAACAAATAATAATAATTATAAAGGTATGATGATATTGTTCAGCAGACAGTCCAGACTTAAATGTAATCGAAAATGTTTGTCACAAAATGAAAATAATCCCCAAAGCTATTAGTAATATTAAAAAAAATCTGAGAAAAAAAATATCTGTGATAAATTTTCTTAGTCACGAAAATCACAACCATTGAATATTTATTGGTTGTAAAATTTATGCAAAAAGAAACCTCCTTTTTTCTCGGAAGAAATTCTCCTTCCTCCATTAGCTACGACAATAGCTTTCAAATGAAGTATCCATTTTATAATATGTAACGGTTATTTATCCCGCTAGAGGGCGCTAAAATTAAAAGTAACGCAATAAATAGTCATATTGCCGAATTGTCCATAAAATTACCATTTTAATGATGTGTCATACTTGATATTTTATTTATTTAAATTGTTTTTGTTAGAGAATGACGTAAACAGTTGAAAAAATTGACGGGTTGGAACGTCTGTCTAAAATATTGACGCGGTTCTAGTACGTTTTCGTCTGGCCACTCTGTATACTATACCGGTAAATTATTGATATCTGGCAATTAATATTTCTTGGATATTTACCAGTAATGATAATTTTAAATTGATATACTCGTATACAGGCTGATCAATTTATACTCCGGAGTTTGATATCTCCGTTGTTTTGAGGGATACGAACAAACGTTTTAAATACAAATTATAGATAGAGTTTAGCTCCACATTTTAAAATTATTTCGTAATATACAGGGTCTTTCATAAAGTCACAGCATACCAAAGTTATGTTTTTTTAGTGGAACACCCTATATGTTATCTCGGATACTTTTAAAGAAATGGCCACTTTTATGTGCAAATCATAATGAAATCGTCACCCTGTATTATTTAGAATCAACAATTGAGGGTTAATATCTCAAGGCCAGAATAATTTCGTAGTAGTTTAGTTTTGTTGCGACTCATTATGTTTTTGATATCTTTCATTTTGTATACAGGGTAACCCAAAACTCACGACCATGATTTTCTCGATAACATTACTAAATACCTTCTGTCAAATATGGCAATCATGGCCAACTATAAGAAACTTTCGGTTTTTGCCAAAAATATCGTTTTATTATTAAAAATCAATTATTCTGGCCTTGAGATATAACCCTCAATTGTTAATATTAAATAATACAAGGTGACGATTTCATTAAGATTTTCACATAAAAGTGGCCATTTCTTTAAAAGTACCCTGTAGAATCTGATAAAACCCTATATTTCCAGAATGGGAAAAATGAGCAAAATTCAAATTCGAGATAACATATAGGGTGTTCCACTAAAAGAACATAACTTTGTTATGCTGTGACTTTATGAAACACCCTGTATATTACGGAATAATTTTAAAATGTGGAGCTGGACTCTATCTATAATTTGTATTTAAAACTTTTGTCCGTATCCTTCAAAACAACGGATATCAAACTCCGGATTATAAGTTGATCACCCTGTATATACAGGGTGGCGCATGCTATTATACGCGTCGGTCTCTGTAGGGGAAACGGCTTAACATTAATTTTTTTTTATTACCACTACAAATTAAAATTAATTTGGAAAATAAGAATTTATATCAACGTTATGGTTTTTTAAATGGAATACCCTATATTTGATGGTGTTTTTTGATTCTACGGAAATAATAAAGTACTTTTTTTTATAATGTTTTCCATAATTATCTTTTTTCGTTTTTAAATTTTTATAATTTATAAGATTGAACAACATAACCTAGTATATCGTGTTATTTAAAACACATTAATAATCACCTGCGAATTTAGTAGTCAATATATTAAAATATCGAATAAAATTGCAAATTTTTTCATTACATCATACAGGGTGCTCATTTAGTCTAACTGAATTCCACTTAGATGTGGAGTTGAATAATATTCTTATTTTAAATGGCATATCCAATAATTTAAACTGATAGACATTTAAATTATCTTACATTCCATATAAGATTTCCCTATACCTAAATTCAACGGTTTCATTAGTATTAGTAGTAGTATTTTTAAGAGTTTTATATTTCTATTTAGTAAGTTAGATATCAAACGTACGAAAAATCGAATTTGACACATAAACATTTATTTTAAAGCAGAGAGAATTGATATAGCGCTTGTTCTTGGTGAGCGTCATGAAAAATGTTTATTATCTTCCAAAGTTAACGGGCAAAAATACCCAGATCAAGAGAAGCTTGCCAGACGTGCTTTTGAAAGATTACTAGAAGAGTTTAAATAAAAATGAAAAAATATTCAGCCACAACCATTGTAGGAGATCATGAAAATAATTTTTTTTTGTTATTAGTAGAGAAACTAGAATTATTGGACGAATAATAAAAAACACAAATTTCATCCTTATAAAATACAGTTGCACCAAGAACTGTATAAAAGGACTTTCAACAAAGAATAGATTTTTGTTTATGGGTTATGGACAGAGATAACAGGAGATGTAACTACTAACAAATATCGTGCGGTCCTGAATAAGACACATCCTAAGGGACACAGGAGGGTATAATATCCGCTGTTGTCATATGCCTATTTCATTATTCTCGTTTTGTTTACAAAATTATTTACATATATTAAAAAAGCTAAAATAATTCAACCCATTTTATTGCAACTGAACCCAAAAATTTTTGAATCATTCAGTTATATCAAATTTAACTAAATTGGATGTAATTTCACTAAATTAGATGTAATAATTTTCAATAAATTCCAAAAACCTAGTCATGTTAGGTTGCAACAGGGCTTACACCGGCATGGATATTTACGTTGTGTATTATAAGAGCACATTTATTCATTAATAAAAAAAGTTGTATCTGCATAAAATTCTTCTCTTTATCCCCTCTCTTACTTCTCACCTTTCGTCACCTCGCCGCGGACCTACAAATAGAGCGTATTGATTGTCGTATTAATCTCGTCATCGTGAATATTATATTACATCTCTGTTATCTCCGATTATGGATAAAGTAGAAACAGATGCAGATTTTTTCGGAAGAATCCACTTTTTATAATAATGGGCTCGTTAATCGCCATAACTTTCATTATTATAGTGATGAAAATCTTTACGTCTTTAAATGTTATTGGTGCTTATTTTTTACCGGTCTTCTTAAGATTTTTGCCTAGAAAGTTATCTGGGCTCTTTGATGATGTACCCTTCAATACTAAGCAGAAAATGTGGATGCACTTGGATGGAACCCCGCACATTTTCAACTTCGATTATACGGCGATACTTAAAACGGCGTTTTGTTAATAAATGGGAAGAGGTGCTCCACATAATTGGCCTCCTCGTTTTGGATATATTTTTATGGGATACATACAAAGTATAGTTTATAACACCCCATCGACTACCCCGGAAGATATGAAAGCTAGAATAAGAGCTGAATTTCAAAAAATGACTAGATAAATACTTCCCAAAGTGAAATGAACGTTTAAAAAATGAGTTCACGTTGGCTCTATGAGTATAATTAATTTTTTTTTTTAATTAAAAAAGATATACTTTAAAACTTACATTTAACATTGATAAAAATGTTATGAACAAAAAATAAAATGTAAAGCCGTTTTCCCTACAGAGACCGACGCGTAAAGCATGTGCTACCCTGTATATACACTTCTGTAAAAAGTTAATGAGACCTATTAAACCACTGTTTTATATATTTTATAACGATCTACAATAAACATTTAAAATTTATTGAGGCGTATAATGAAAAATAAAAATTTTATTAAAAAATATCAACCGTTTCATTACATCTTACATCACTGCTAGCAAAACGATAAGATAGGTATATTAAGTTCAAACACAGATAAGATGTAACAATTATATTATTTGCATCTGAGCTTTTAACGTTTCGCAGAAAACCTTGATACCCTTATAGTTGGGTTTGGGTATGCAAAAATAAACATTTCGTTATCAGTATTTGCTGTTGATATATGCATTTTGTCGTCTGCCTGGTATATTTGTTTAAAAAAATTGACTTAACAGTAATCATAATAAAATGTCAACAAGAAGTCATATTTCAATTTTATTTTGTGTTTTTACACATTTCTTGTCTTCAGAAATAATATAAGAGTTACTTTCATTAAGTCTTTATAGTATTGCAAAACCGGCCTAAAAAGGTCCTTCCTCAAATTCTCAAAGATCTAGCGGCTTACTTACCAAAAATGCCACGTTTCTGATTCTTTCCTAAACTACTAGTTTTCTGTACATCACTAAACCCTTGCCTACTGTCTGTATTCTGTCTATAATAAACGTTTTTATCCGTTGGAACTGGCGGCAGAGGTCTAGATGGTGGTCGATCATTTTGTACCTGATGCCTTTCGTACACCACATGGCTTGGATATCTCGGTTCTACGTTTTGGTATCTCCTGTACATGTCGTTGGCGCTGGCCGTCAGTCTTGAGTTACGAACGAAATTTTGATTTGGTGGTAGCTGAGATTGAGAGTTCTGCTGTAGCTGCCCAAGCATCACACCAGACTTTCTTATATTCAAAGATGGACTGTCTCTATCATGAATTTGTCCATACATATCACACACTTTATCTCTAACACTTCCTTGTTTCACTTGCCAACTATACGTTGGATCTGCAATGTTTTGTTTCGAGGAATACACAACACCCTGTTGTTGCTGCAGTTGCTGCTGCATCTGCTGCTGCATCTGCTGCTGTTCGTTGGGTACGTAACCTCCAAAATAACCATATACATCATCCTTTATATATATCTGCCTTCTAGGCATACTATAGTTAACCTGTTTTGGCACATATCTCTGTGAGTTATCGAAAGACATTCTCCTGGAAAGCCTTTGGTTCTGGCCGTAAATGGGCTCTGCGAGTTGTATCGAATTGTATCTGGTCATTCCTACAGGAATTCTGGAACCTTCCACTTGTTTACTTTGTGAGCTGTAAATAGGTTCCTGTTGAATCTGTTTATAGAAGTTTGCATTTTGGTAGTGAGGATCTTGCTGTCTTTGAGCGTGGTTGTCGTACGGTCTGTTTGTATAGCCGTAAATTTCTTTACCGTCCACGATCAATTTGGTAGTTTGTTGGTTTGGTAGAAAGACATCGTCATCCAGGCTTTCAGGCCTAATCGAATCCAATCTTCGCTGCGGCGGGCTTTGAGTATACCCGTTTCTCGTAGGCCATGCATCTCTTTGTTTACCACCATTAAAACTAACCTTTTTCTGCTGTTGGTCTTCTGCAAACTCTCTTACGGGAGTAGTGAGGCTGCCTCTCTTGAAAATCGGTCTGTAAATAGCGTTACCGTTAGATCTAGGTACTGTATCAATGGTACGTCGTTCAGGAGCGTTTCTTCTAAAGTTTTGCTGGTAGTAAATGGCATTTGGATAGTTGACGACAGCTCTGCCTTCGGGTATAGGTGCTGGTTGGAATCTTTGGTGATTATCGCTAACTTCGACGTTTGTAAGTTGCGATTTCGATTCCCTAGGTAAACTTAAGCTTCTTCTACCATTTCGTTGAGAAGACGGTGAAGAGCTTCGCGATCTTCGATAATTGATCGGATCTTCAGCGTACCCAAAGGGCATCAACTGCATTTGGTAGTATTGAAAGTCTCTATTTTCCTGTTCTTTTAATTTTTTTATTTCCTTCCAGTAATAGGCTTCTACGTTACGTCGCATTTCTTCTTTTTGTGGCGATGGAGTTTGGCTAGTCGGAGGTATTCTGAGATCCACAGGTGTAGATGAGCCAGAACCTTGAGGCTTGATCATAGTCAACTCAGCGTTTTGTAAGTTCGTGGGTGTAGGTGATCTCAATAAAGAATTTCCCATTAATCTCTCTTGAGAACCAACAAGAGATGACTGATATATTCTATTGTCGTAATTGGATGATAACTGGCTGTTTCTTTGAAGAGTGTTATCATAAGATGGTGGTAAAGGACTATTTCTGACCGTTTCTGGCATTCTCAAATTAGGTGAGGATTGATTGTTCTGACTTTCATAACTATTCCTTTGAAGGCTTGCATTCTGAATGCCAGGATATTGATTAATTCTGCTGTCATAAGTAGGTGATAGCTGACCATTCCTCTGGTTAGGTATACGTGAAATTGGTGGTTGATTTTCGTAGTTTGGTGATAGTTGACTGCCTCTTTGATCAACAATTATTCTTGAAATTGGCGGCTTACTCTTGACTATAGGGTTTCTTACATATTCATTTGTATGATTACTTTCAGGATAATCGATGCTTTCCAGCCTCTGGTGACTAGAGCTCAGTTGGTTAATCTTCTTTTTTGTTGGAGTAGGAGACCTTGATGTTCTCAGCAGTTCGGTTGCTATTAATTTTTCAGTACTGACGTGATGTTGTGGAATTGGTGATCTCATTCTTGGCGACATTGGACCAATATCTCTATTAGGAGGCATTCTTAATTTTGTTGCTTCTAAAGAAGGAGATCTTGGTGGTTTTTGAGGAACTTTCGATGAGGAATTTCGATTCCTGTCTACGTTATCAAAAACTGTTCCGTAAGTTTCGTCTAAAATAGGTTGGAAGATTTTGTTATCGAAATTGTTGGCAGGTTTCTTCTCGTTGAAGTCAAATTGTTGCATCTTTGGTTTTGGTGATAGAATTTGGGGTTTGGGGCTAATCACGGGTTTCGTTGTGGCGTTTTGGTATGGATTAGGTAGGGGTCTTTCAGAGTTGATGGGTATTAGTGCTTTTGGATTGACTAAACGGACGTCTTGAGTCTGTCTGAGTTCTTGGGCTCTTGGAGGTGTGTCTCTTCTGGTATCCGCGAATCTGATTGACTTATAAGGGCTTTCTTGGTCGGTGAAAGTCCTGCTAGAGCTATCTTTTTCGGAGTCACTGGCTAATGAGCTGCTATCGATGAATTTGTTAATGTTTGATATTTTACTGAAACTCATTGGACCTGGGGTTAGAGTGGGTATGTCGTCCGGTTCGTCGGCGCTGTTATGATTTTCGAAATTCTGTTTAATGTTGTTGAATTCTTTAACGTGCATTTTAGCGTAGCGCCTTTCTATTTCCTGCATATCTATATTCGGAGGTGGAATCCTCCGATCCTGCGATAAAGGCTTTGGTACATTACTTCCCAAACTGTTCCTGTGTGGTGACTGTCTAGAAAAGTTGTTTTCGTTCTGCAAATTATCGCTTTGCGCGTTCCTTTTCTCGGATTCTTCTTTTTTCTTCTTCTCTTTGTGGAAGATCTTACCGGAAAATATCTTTCGAAAGCTGCTGGCGCGTTTCTTGTCTTTCGGTTTTTTGTCCATCGTGAATAAGTCGAGTTCTTTTTCGAATTTGTCGACAGTTTCTATCGATTCGGAACGTCTCACGATGGTTATAAATTCGCCTGAACTGGAGCTGCTTTTTCTGAACACCTCGTTCGAGTTTTCATCCTTTTTTTTTGTTGTTTTCTTGTCGAGCATTAAACTGTGACGATGTTTTTTGTCAGATATTTTTTGGGACGGTGATGGTATTATGATTTCGCTTTTGATTTTGCTTCTTGGTACTGGTAGCGGTAATTTTGATTTCTGTCTGATTAATTCTAGTTTGGTTTCTGGATTTTCTGTATCGCTTTTTGTAATGTCGGTATCGTTGTCGGATTTTTCGTATTTTGATTTCAGAAGATCTAATTGGCTGCTTCGCGTGGGTGATAAGGATCTGTGAAGTTTTGCGTATGCAGATTTGTTGATGAGTTTCCTGTTTGTTTGTGGGTCTTTTCTTATTACCAAGGTGTCTATATTTTCGATTGTGTTTGTACTTGTTGTTAGTGTTTCTTCTATTGACTTTGTGGTACTGGTTTCACAACCGCTGTCGTTTTGATTAAGCGTGTTATCATTAATCTTTTCTTGGTGGTTAAATTCCACGGTGTTTTGTTCCAACACGGTGTCCATTTTGGTAGAACGAATGGAGCTGTGTCGTTAGAATCTCCTGTAACAAAGAAATAATAGGAATTAAAAAAGATAACCTCGCTTGAATGTCTGTAAGCTTTTAAAAACAGGTATTTAAACAAAGTGTAAGATTAGATAAACGATTTAAAAATGGATCGTGACTAACATTTTTATTGACATTGTTGGATAATGTTAAATAAATGGTTTTCTCAATTTTGACATGAACTACAATTTAAGCATTCTGATGATAAATATTTTACTTATTTCGAACTAGGATAAAAAATGTTTGTGTGTGGTAAACGTTATAAAATAATAAAAAAAAGTACATAACAAATGAAACAATTTTTAGTTTAATTTAACATTAAAACTATGCTACAAATTAAATGTAAGGTACTTGGATATCTATAACAAGCAATTATTATAAGTTTTAAAATATAAATTAAATTTAGATTCCAAAAAAAGTATGTCACAAATGTAATAAAATTGCGGAAAAAATATCAGTATACGACAACTTATTGTAAAAGTTAGTAGCCCTATGAAGGGGCGAATTTAAATAGTAATTTGTTGATGCCTAATTTACGAAGAAAGTAGAATAATTTCAAGTATTATAATTAGGAATATCAATTCGAATAAGATTCATTATTTCAACACAATCAATTGTTATTTAAGATCTTATGGATGAACATGACATCTGCTATTTGCCTACTTTGCTCAAAACTAATAATTTTCAAATTAAAACGGATATTTTGTCTTTCTGATATATGAGGGTAAAATTTTCTTTGGCAATAAGAAATAATAGTTACTTATTATACAAGGGAAAAAAGTAATTTCATAAAAAGTGACATTTTGTTACCTGACAAGAGAGATAAAATGTCAAACTTTTTTCCCGTCACAGGAAAAACTTATTTTGTATTAATTCTAAGTTGTCAATATAAATCAAGTAGCAAGGATTCCAAACGACATACATGAGAATACTGTTGAAATAGGCCATGTACAAGGTTCTGACAGAATGTGCGTTTTTTAATTCAAAACAAGATCTGAAGATAAAACCTAATTGACTGTGTGTCTTATTAGCTACATTATACAGAGTGATTCATTGGGAAACGGACATACGTTAACTGTGGATAGAGGCCACTGAGGTGATTGTAGATAACCCTTATTTAATCGGCCTTTGGTTGTTTATAACCGAGATACAGGGTGTTTTATCAATTTTTTTCATTTCTTTTCTTATTCATAACTTGGGAACAACCCTGTAGACATTTATGACGTTTGGTATACTTATCATCCATATCTTGTCGAATATACTGATTTATAAAAAAAAGGAAAATCCAGACCCGGCTTAGCTAAAAATTTACAAATTCTTCAACTCTAAAAACAACACCCTGTATAACTGATTTTTTATAATTCGTTTCCATATTTGAAAAGAGCATAAAATACTAAATCTAAAAATGTTATTTTTATTTTGGGGCAGACGAATTTACTGTTCAAATTTTTAATTCAAATTCTTATTTCTGAGCATTTTCGGGGTACAAAATAGAATAGAACCGGTTTTTATTATTTTTATTACGTTAAATTAAGATTATTTACACAAACTTAGTGAATTTTTAAAAGCTACATTTTAAGTTAGTCCTAGTCCTTATTTACGCCACTACATAATGTAATTACAGGTTCGTATTTGGGACCAAATATCATTTCGATCATGTAATATTTAAAATTTTTACTTACAGAGTATGTGAAAGTATTAGGTAAATATGCGCGAAAAAAATGTTGTTCATACATTCCGGAAGTGTTTAAGATATTTGCATACGCTAAAATAGGTCGTAAAATAATCGATGCACTTTAAACAATTAATAAACGTATGGTTTTTTGTTTTAGTAAAATTCTTTATAAAATATCACGTTTTAGCGACATACATACGATTCCGAAATAATAAATTACGTGAGACTATTCATATACAGGGTGGACCGGATTTAATTTGCGTATACAGAGATCTCGTAAACCGTAAGATATACATTGTCGGTTAAATGGGGAAAAAGTTTCGTATTTTAACGGATAATACAATGGTCCATAGAAGTTCCAGATTTTCTGACTGGTTCCGGAGATATTTAATAAAATCCGAAAAACCTCATTTTCGTTTTTTAAGTCGTGCGTTATTATAAAAGATACAAAAAAAATGATACTAAGTTTTTGTTATAAATCAAGTTCCCTATAATCTGCCATGTCAAAATTTTTATTACGACGTTTCGTATTTCCAGGGCCACCTTCAACTTATTTTTTTAAATTCGGACCTGGATTTTTAACTGTATTTTTTTATAGGTTTTGTATAGCTAAATACAACGATATGTTACACTTTACCATTTTACTACGTTTCGTCTATGAAAATATCCATCAGCTATGTAGCTTCTGATGATACCGTTTCTTACTTGATTAAAACAAGATAGCAAATTAAATAATAATTAAAAAACAAAAAATTCATAAAATGTGAAATTTTAAATATTATTTAAAATATAATACAAGAATTATTTAATTACAAAATGGGTTACAATTTTTTATCAAACATGATTAAGTACAACCAGCAAACAAGACAAGGAATTATGGTTGTACACATTCTACAAATAATAAAGGTACAACAAAAACATAAAATGAAAAACAAAACGCTCAAGCAATCTATAAATTCCTATCACCTGTAAAATCTTTCGCTTAGGTTTCTTACACCGTATTTTTTCTATCTTTAATGTTTTAATTTTTGCATACATAAGATCTTAACAAAATCGGCCAGATTATTGGTGTTTTATGGATACGCATATTCATTATGATTTTTTAATTGGAACACCGTATTCGATTTAATTTACTGAAGTGGACATACTAGCATAATATTAAACTTTTAGTATATTTTTTTAAAGCCATTTAAAACTGAGGGCGGTGGCCAAGCCCTAACGTACCAAGTCATAAAACTGAAACTCTGACATCAGGATCATCGACTTATGTGAACTTATCTTATCTTAAACTTTCTCGAACATTCCAGATGTTTCCTGACACGTACTTTTACTTATGACAACTGCAGCACATTGTAGGGTGATGGGTGACATTGTACTTCTTCTTTTATTCGTACGATTCCTATAAAAGCAGCAGGCTACTACAGGGCGCAGGGTAACAATATCATCTTACATAGTAATAGTCGCTTATCGCAATAGAAAAATTGTTTCTGCTACTTCTAATTGAACATAAAACACTTAGTATTCGTGTTCTTTTAAAATGGCTGTATTCTGAAGATAAAAAAAACTGATATTTTTATTTAACTTTGTTGACCTCTAGTCACTGGCAAGTGTCTGATAACATTTCGATGTCAGACCACCGCTGGTTAACATTCAAAATAAACTTGATGTTGCCGACCTCCACGCTATCTCGGAACCCTAGGAAGACGGACAGGGCAACCTATGCCCACCTTCTCCAAGAGGCTCTGAGAGAGATGGAGGCCCAAGCACCAAACGATAATACTGCTTTGGAAAAGTACACGAACACTATCCAAAGCACAATAAACATTGCCTATAAGAAATCCTGTCGTCTGAGGCTGGTCCAACACAATCAGACGACTACCGCATGGTGGTGTCACGAGTTGGAAATCTTTTAAGAAGGCAAAAATCACTCAAAGAGGACTGGGATACTTACAAATCTCACCTCAGAGAATACAAAAAAATCGTCAGACAAAAACAGAGAGATGCATGGAGATCCTACTGCTAAGAAATCGAAGATTTCCCGCAGGCAGCGAGGCTTCAAAAAGCTCTCTCAAAAGATCCACACCAAAGCATTGGTGCGCTAATCAAAAATTATGGCACGAAAACTGCCAACATCAAAGATAGCATCAAACTTCAGTTGTCAACACACTTCCTTGCCTCGGTCATCACAGACGTGGCGGATTGGACAGAGGAAGAATACAATCAATCTGTCTATGATTGGCAAACTGCCAAACACATTGTAGACGATGGAATATTAGATAGGCAATATCCAGCTTCTCTTCATTTAAATCGCCAGGACCTGACGCTATCTATCCAGCCCTACTTCAGTGGGGTCTGGAAGAACTCACACCGCACCTGGTGGGTATATTCAGATCCTCGATGGCTCTGAGGTATATCCCCCAAAAATGGAGGGAAGTAAAAGTGGTATTTATACCCAAACTTGGAAGGATGGATTACACTGTCCCAAAAACAAACCGACCAATTATTTTGACATCGTTTTCCATGAAGACATTGGAAAGGCTATGCGAAAGGTACGTAAGGGATGCGGTGATTACAACAACATCACTATACCCAAACCAACATGATCACCCTCATCAGCCGCCTTAATAATGACAGTCACTACACAATAGCATATGCAGATGACCTGTTCATTCTGCAAACAGGGAATTTTGAGAGCATACTCTGCGAAAGAATGCAAGTAGCTCTAAAAATTATAGAAAAGTGGTGCAAGGACCATTCACTGTCTATCAATCCTAAGAAGACAAAAATGGTCCTTTTCACAAGGAAAAGGTTGAAAATGGAATTAAAACCTCCAGAACTCCTAAACACAAAACTAAACTTTGCAACAGAGGTTAATCTAGGTCTCACCTTTGACAGTAAGTTAACATGGAACTCGCATTTAGAAAACAGAGTTAAAAGAGCATACATTGCTTATGAACAATGCCGCCGAACCGTTTGGCGCACCTGGGGTTTCTCCCCCAGAGTCGTCGCATGGACTTACACGGCTATCATAAGACCTATGCTAACATACGGTGCAGTTGTCTGGGTACCGAAAACCCAAAAATTAACAACTATCCGTAAACTAGAACAAATTCAAAGAACAGCATGTCTCAACATAACAGGATCCATGAAAACAATACTAACTAGAGCGATAGACGAGGGGCAAATCACTCTTTGTAAAAATGTACATGTATTGCCGAATTCATATGATTTCCGCAATCATATGGCGATTTCTGGATGACTGCGGCGATTTCTAGATGACTGCGGCGATTTCTGGATGACTGCGGTGATTTCCACATGACTT